AATTTTATAAATCGCTGCACTGGCAGCGATTTATTTTATAATTTTTTTTAATAAATCGTTGCACAGGCAGCAATATACCTTATTCTTTTAAAAAAAAATATAATTAAAAAATAAAATGAAATCGCTGCCTTTTGAAATCGCTGCTTGGGCAGTGATTTTATTTTTTTCATTTTTTTATTAAATTTTTTTTTTGCAAAATCGTCGCCTCAGCAGCGATTTTACTTTTTCAGGTGAGGTAAGTCGCTGCACCTGCAGCGATTTTACCGTTTTGATTAATATAAAATTTTATATACGATTTTGAAATTTTTGTTAATATTTTGTACCCTTTAAGTTTCGGACTCTAGTTTTAATTATTGGCAACTTAAAAATGTCACTTATAGGATAATTATAAATAATTTTTATGATAAAGAAAAGATTATGGATATAGAGTATCAATATCAGATTCATTTCAATTAATTATTTTAATGCAAAATAAAAATTTATATATAAATTCATGAAAATTGTAAAAAACAGTAAATTATGAACTCATAATTGCTAAGAATCTTAAACACTTTTTTTTTTTAATAATAATATGCTAAAAATGTTAAAAATTGAACTCGTAAAATTTAAATTCTACTTACCAATTTCATAGACAACTCCATTGAAAGAAGAGCAACCAGGTCCTCCAGTGAGCCACAATATAAGAGGATCATTTCCAGGGTCTGATTCTGATTTAATAAAATAATAAAATAGCTGGTGTTTCTCTTCTTTACCCACACCTACATACCTGAATCAGATAAATATTTAGAGCCCGCTTTGATTATTTTTTAAAAAGTTATCCCTTTAAATTAAAAATTAAAAAAATTAAATCTAAATGACTATTAAATCAAGAATAAAGTAGAGGAGATCTATTTTTTATTTTTTATTTCGCTAAACACCTTCTAAATCATTTTTGATTTATTTTATATTTGTCAAACACTTTAAAAAGTAAAAAAAAAAAAGGGACTTCAAAAAAGGTTTAACCAAATTTTATGCCGATTCAAATATCCTCTTAGTTCTAATTATTTCAACTTAACATTTTTAACAGTTTTAATTAGTAAGACATTTTGATTTAAATCGGCAGAAAGTTTTTGAAAAATAGAAGATCTTTAAGATTTGGAATGGAATTTTAAATATAATTTGATATTTTTATAACTGGTAAAAATAATACTAACAAAATTATGAATATTGAAATCTAGTACACCAACTAAAGATATAACTATTATTTATACCGACAATCTAGATTACTTGTACTGTTTTAGATATTATTGCAAATTAGTATATTTATTATTATTAAATATCTTCACTACAGTCAGAGTGATAAATAACTTAATAGTCAAAGTGCATTATTTAGACTTACGATAAAATAAGTGTCCATAATATTATATCAATTTTAAAGAAATATATTTATATCTAATTTTACATAGACCACATATCCACGTGCTCTTAAGGTCCACAATTAATTATAAATTAACTGTTTCTCTTGATTAGCTAAGCTAGATGCCATTATTTTGCAATCAGTAAACTGTGGAAGAAATTGTTAGATCTATCGTTTTTGCTAGTAATGTTAGAGCTAAAGTTAGGATTCAAACTACACACTCTAGTAGATCGTTACCCGTTTTGATACGAGTAAATTAAAACTGGATTGAATTTTGATCCGTCCAAATTTGAACTTGTTCTAAGCTATAAAATTGTTAAATTAGTAAAAGAAAGAAAGAAAAAAAAACTAACCCAGTTTCGAGATGAAAAGGAAGAGGACCGTCAAATCCAGGAAGAAATTTGACAGTTGCAGCAGCTTGTACTTGCAGGGGGGTTATTTGTATCAGTAATGGTAGAGCAAGAAGAAGAAGATGAAGAAACATAGTGGAGCTAATTGGGGAATAATTCGATTTTGCCATTGATGAATTTAAAATAATGGATGGCATCTTATACTGTTATTTATTGAATGACGTAAAATAGCTGAACATGGTTCCCACCATAATGTTGTCTCATTGTGAGATGATTGGTGAAAAATTGAAAACAAAATAACATCAAAATATTTAAATCTATCTCGCCTACCTACCCCTTTTTGGAAATAAAAAACTTCGAATATTGTATCAGACACGAAACATATTCTACATGACAGTTGCAACAAGATCTGTGCTCTACAATGAGCATCAAATTCGAATTTTGGGTAAGAATCTCATTTTTTGATAGCACGAACAAAAATTTAATGGCCAAAGGCGCCGATGGGCATCAATGGCTGACTCGAGTGCCTCCCAGAATGCGACATGATCACTTATTATACGACTCACTAACTTTACTTGTGACCACTTCTGTAGTAGAGTTTACTTTACTTACTATTCAGTTGTAGATTTCTAAATTTAGGCTGTTAGCATTGCCTCAAATTTAATAGGGACAACTGAAAAAAAAATAAATTCTAACATACATCCAAATGAAATATACAATCAGAGGGTGCCAAATTTTTACATTTAAAATAGAACTGAAAACCAGCTATTTCCAGAGGTACAAGTGTGGTTCCTTGGATGGAAAGCCTTTCTCTATTACCTTGGCTATACATGCTCGCGTTAACAACATACCCAATATATTCCCAAAACAAGTGACATCTAGAAAGGGTGGGGTGTACACAGACCTTACCCCTACCTTTACAGGGTAAGTGGAGTAAAGAGGTTGTTTCCTGTAGACTCCTGGATCAAGACTCTGTCAGCTTTAGAAAATATGTATACAAGTACGATTCTTCATCTAGATTCAACTTCCAATTAAATGTCAGTGCATGTTGATTTCACCAACATTTTCTTCATTCTTGCTCTCCGTTTCCTCAACTTTTAATTTCTGCCAAATTGGAACAAAGTTGGGACATAATTAGCCTGTATATAACATGTATATTTTCTCAATTGATTCTAGAATCTAGAATCCAATTTCCTCGAAGTAATGGAATAAAGATACTTTATTTGCGCAGAAATTAACCAAAATCATACAAGAAGAGAACGAATAATTAAGCATTCTAAAACTTCTGCTCTTCGTCAGTTTCTTGCATATATCCTCCTCTCACATCTTGTTCTCAAATTACGAATAGTTAGAAATCATGAACAAACCTTTGCTGCAGAAGAGTTCTCATTTGATAAGCGTGCAAACATTGTTGTATAGAGCTTTGCGTCTCTCTTGTTGCTCTCTGATTGGAGTTGTTTTAGTGTCTTCTGTATCAGTTTCACCTCCCTGAACCGCAGAAACTCTTTGATTCATAATGGTCAAAAGAATTCTCCACCAATATTAAAGTCATGAGTTGCATTACCTGTTTTGTGGCTCTATTGCTAGTGCCTTCTTGATATCCAGTTCAGCCAAGTGCAGATCAGCTGTTTCCATAAATGCTTGCGCTCTCCTATATAATGCTTTCACATTGCAGGATTCAACTTCTAAGACCTATGACCGATGGGAAAGGATAAGGATGAAACTGGGCCGTGCTTGGTTTTGAAAGACAGTTAGCCAATTCATTCACCAAGAAAAGGAAGCATGCTTTTAATCAGCTGATACAGTATATGCACTGATAATTCTTTTTTTTTTGGTCACTACAAAACATGCCTATCCAACCAAATTACATTAAAATAGTATTTCCTCTTACCCTAATTACTTGTCCACTTTTCCTTTTTCAGTTGTCCCTAATTACTTGACCATGTTAACAAATCAAGAAAGGACAAAATATTTTTATCTATTATACCCACAATTAATTACTTTGAAAAAGGTAGAACTTCTTGAAAATCTAAAATTTTTATTTCACCTACTTCATAATTAATATGGATAAAATGGTCAATCATTGTTTTCTTAATAAGCGTGCCAATTAAAAAGTGGACAAGTAATTAGGGACAGAGGGAGTATTGTTCAATTGATTATCTTGTTATGCATGTACTTTACCTTGCAACATTGCTTGATTGCTTCCTGGAAATAACTCTGTTTGAGACAAGCAGCAGCACCATTCAACCAGCATGACACTCTCAATGATTTAACTATCTTTTGATCATCATCTTCAAAATGTTCATCTTCATTAATACAATCAGTAGCCTGAACCAAAAAAGAAAAAACGAGAAAAAACATAAAAATTATAGAGCATCTAACAAAAGTTGCACATTCTTAACAGTGATGACCAATTCACTGAGATACCTTCTCATATTTCTTCATTGCTCTTTGATACTTTCCGTTTTTGAAGAGCAAGTTGCCTTCTTCTTTCTTCCTCTGGGCCATTTGGATTCTCTCATGCTTATTCATTTCCCTAGGATCTTTTTCCTAGTTCCCAGAAGGAGAAAGTTAGAATTTAGAGAAATTTGTATGTACCAACCCAAAATAAATAAGAGAAAAATTCAGTAAATTGGTCTTGTGCAGCATCAAAATTTTCCCATTAAGAGATTATCAACTTCACTATAATAAGCACTCCATCCAGCCCAACTAAGGTGTCTATTTCACTACAATAAGCAGTTAAGCACCCCCATCCATCCCAATTAAAGTATCCTACTTTCACTTGATAATCCAAATCACTGAACACTAGAGTGAAGATTACCGTATTCAGAGTTTTAATTAAGAAAGGCTACAAATTAAAATAACTTGTTAAATTTGACCTGAAATCCGAACACCAGTTATTATGTAAATCAAAATACTGGAACCTTTTCTTTTGGTTCGGTGAAATCAAATTACTGAAACTTGAAGAGAAGGCATGGACAATACATCTAAAAACATAATTCCAAACTAGAAAATCTTTACTATAGAAAAACATAAGCACTCAAATCAATTTGATTTACACAAGATATAACAAACAAGAGAGGACTTTTCTATGAAGAGAGGAGACTTTATAGATATTCCGGAGAAGTATTGTTAGTGTCGATTTAGTTTCATAGTACATGCCAGTAAATTCTCACAAGTCTCAAAAATCTTAGGGGCTACTAATAAGAAAAGGTATAGTAACTAAATCTTGTCCAAAAAATAATCAAAATAAGCACAGCAACATATTTACAAACTTAATCAATCAGTCCAAGCAATTACATCCATTAACCTATTGGGTAGTGTTCAGGTTTCTTCATATGTTCAATCCTAGAAAATCAACTACGTTTTCCAGTCAGAACTTTGGGCCACTTGCTTGGGTCATTTACACATCTCATATGAGTTCTAACCCTACATTCGCTGAACCATGTGTACTAAGCGGCTAAACCAAATATGTCTTAGCAGATTACAGACTTCCATCAGAAATTACCTTTGTGAACTCCAACATCTCCACCTCAAAAATTATGGTTGAGCATGGAGGAACCATAGCAAGATCCCGCTTCACTTCAGTATTTCCAAACCCATAGTCAGGTTTAACTGTCACTATTGCGTGTTCTCCCTTCTTCATTGTAGTAACAGCTTGGTCCAGTCCAGCAACGACTTGTTCTGGATGCAAAATAGTACAACAGAATCATTGCAAGACAAGGTTCGTAGGCATTAAGTTCAACAAGTACAGAAGCATCACTGAAGACTTGGCATATATGCAGGGTTTCTTTCATACTGTTAATTCACATTACACAAAATTTAAGGAGTTGGAGCTTTCAGAAGAAAGCCATGCAAGAAATGCACCTGATGTAACTCTTAATTCAAAACAAAAGGTCAAGGACGTACCACAAAAACCTCAATTTAACATAACAAACCTTATTACCTTGTGATCTCAGGGAGGATAATGGGAATAAATATAGCAGATGCTTAATTATCAGCCATAAGTAAACTTTAAATTTGTTCTAATGTACCGACCTTCATCAGTTATAAACTTCAGCGCGTTCTCTCCATCAAAGCCTCTTTTCTCAAGCAAAGTGCCGTCCACAAGCTTAGCTGTATACCTAACTGGAGATTTGAAACAAAAACCAAGTAGTTAGTAAATTCCCCATACTCAAGCTGAATCCCATTACCAATTCTCAAACTGGACCCAGGCTTAAGCTAATGCTTCCCAAAATAGAGCACACATGTGTGCCTTTCACTGAGCAAGAGTACGGTAACATTTCCATATTTGCAGTCCCCTTTCCTCAGACGATGAAGGATGCAATATGACGTTTGATGAAAAGCGAAAAGAGTAGTATTAAATATCCATCTATAATCTATTTAGTCTTCTTCATGACACATTAATCCACTTTCATTTCAACTAGGTTAAGCTATTTTGTCTTTGTCGCTATTTAGGAACTGTTGCTGGCTTGCTGCCGTTACATAATTACCAGTTAACTAGGATTTGGCCTCCAAACTTTAACTAATTTTTAGAATATTGTCTTCACTTTATTAATTTTTTAGGTCAGACCGTTGGATCCCTCAATTTTCAGCTTTTTTTTTTAACTTCTATAGAAGTTTAACTAATTATTAATTTAGTAGGAGATCTTTCTATTTTTTTAAACATCAATATGAGGTTTCCCTGCAAAATATTTGTGTACAGTCTCTGTTTTACATTAAAGCAACGTCTAGTTCGCGGACGAGTTATGGAGATATTATTATTGGCTTGCAAGCCGATGAACATTAATACTTTGATTGTTAGGCAGGGATTATGATACCAAGTGAAGGCTTACCTTTACCAATTAGTATACATGCATAAGTTATAGTTTAAAAAACAATAAAGCAAAATTATTTATTTTTCTTATTAATATGATACTATCACAATTTTTATCAATATAAGGCTTTTAGTATTCATAAAAGTAATACAGCTTGTTTGAACTTAAGGGTATTTTTGTTAATTTTGGTTCTCTTATATGCCTAATACATGCATTGTTATTCACACTCCATCCCGCAAAAAAAATATATGGTTAAGTAATATAATATCAACTATCTGTATTTAATTTCCTCAAGGGCAAGAAGGTAACATGCACAAACTTCTAAATACTTACTAGTCACAGCAGCACCTTCATCTGCAGTAAGAGTGCCTTCTCCCTCTTTTAAAATCTTCTTTAGAACTCCCAAATCACAAGTCACATTTATTACCGGCTTGAAAGAAACTAGTTCAAGATCAATACTCAGAATAGAACTTGGAGGAATGGAAGGGACGCTACTTTCAGAGTCCTTATCCCTGTCAACAGAGGCATCTGCAAAGATGATGGGATAAAGAAAATTTTAAGTGAAAAGAACTGTTGGAGTTTTTCAGGCTGATAGGGAAGGATGGCAACCATTCCTGAAGCATCTTTCTATCATAAAAGCGAGGAAGATGCAAACCAACTTAAAATGATTGCATGAGCTCTTCAGCATTTTCCCTCGTAGTTTTCTTGCAAACATGGCACTTGCAGAGGAAGAACATGAAAGTTCCATATGTTGAAGAAGCAAACTATGTTTATATTGGTTTTTCCAGTTCCTCTATACCAGCATAAGTCTTTGTCACATGGGACAAGATACATACATACATAATACGTATATTTTTATTGTTGAAGGCATAATTAAACAAATAAAAGTTTAAGCTTTTAGATGAAATTGTCACAAACTTCACCATGATATCAGAGCAGAAAAGATCATTCAAGTCTCTTGTACCCATTATACAAAATAATTTCCACCTGTTTCGCCCATAAAACGAATATCATGCCCGCACATGAGAGGAGTTTGTTGAAGACATAAAAGTATGTTTTCCCACACAGTAGTACCCACAGAAAAGCTTAATGTTGTGCAAACTTTAAGCTACATAAGTCAGTATAAGATAATATGCCTTAGGAGTTAGGATGGCAACATCTAGTAAGAATTGATACAGAGCCACAGTGTAGTTTAATGTGCTTCTACTTTAGTTGAAGAGCATGTCTGGTATAAAATCTTTATACAGTCTACTCCACCCATGTAATGTGGTCAGCAGACCTTTTTGTCAAAGTGAGCACAGACATTATGAATGTTCGAACAAACAAAAGGTATGTCATATAGGACTAAAACATTAAATTTGTGAATGTGAACTAATTTTTCTCATGAATTAAATGGCTAAAATTCTCAGAGTTATTTCATACTGTACTATCTGAAACTCTGACCATCTGTCAGATTTATGATAAGAAATATTGATAATAAAAGTCAACACCTTTGAATACATTAAATAGAACATTTCCAAACCTAATAACTAAGACTCCATTAAAATGGAAAGAAGGAAATATCTTTTTTGCTCATCACCAACAAGGTGACTAGACAGTACTGTACTAGAAATCCACCTTTGACCTTAAAACAACTAAATTAGCAATTAGACAAAAACAAAAGCGAAAGCCTAATAGAGGTAAAATATGACCAAATCCCAGTTTCTAGTTGCACTCCACTTCTAAGATCTCACAGCCAGCTCTTACCTAATAGAGGTAAAATTAGACCAGATCCCAGATTCTAGTTACATTTCGCAAAATTCGAAATGAATCAGAATGTACAATTATCTACTACCATTTTCATCTGTAGGAACACATGTCATATATCATTAGGGAAATAAGGAATTCCTCTCATTTGATGCACTCAATTCGCTTTTGTACAACATATTGTTGTGAAAAATAGCAATAAGTGGCAATAACTCCCAACATCTTCCTTACACAGATATCGTGACAATTTTTCATGCCATTCAAAAACTAACATTATGATAAAACTATCCAAACAGAGCTATCTTTCCATCTGAACAGCACAGTACGCGACAGCTGTCAGGTCCACTATTCACAAATAATCTACTTTCTTTATATAGACTACTATATTATCTACGAATTATACTCCCGATACCAACTCCTTCCCCCAAAAGGAACCCCAGCTATCAACCCATATAAATTATAATGCTAGCAAAGAATGAGTTGGGAAGACGTACACCGAGGCTGAATAAGTAAATTCACTTTCTCCCCCTTTCTCATCGTTTTGATCGCTTTTGGTAATGCTTGACAAAAATGGCCTAAAAGAAAACAGAGTTGGTTAGTCAAATACACGGAATATAGTATCAGTTGATACTTGATAGCACAAGTTTGTCGATCCTCGAGCACAAAAACAAAGATACCAAGGTACCATCTTTGACATAAAACTCCACTCCATGTTCAGGTGTTTTTGCAACAGTGATACCGTCAAGCAGCCTCACTACATACCTCACTGCAAAATCAAATTGGAAAATCAAGGACATCTCATCTATAAACAACTGACAAATGCAATATCACGAGTAAGACCACATAAAATGCAGATATTGGCACTAGCAATATTTCTTTTTCTTTTGGTTTCCAGACAGTGAATTCTTTTGGGTAAAAACTAAACACAGAACATATTCAAGTACCTAGAACTTCATCCAAGTCACCAGGAGGTCCTATCATCTCCCCCTTCTCCAAAATTTTCTTGATAATACCACCATCCTTGCAGACATCCACCACTGTGATCCATGATACGAGTTCGACTTCAAACTGAACGACTCTATTCGAAGAAACTGCATCCGAGTCTGACAATCCAAAAGCAGTTTCCAAAGGCAAAGTGAACAATGCTCCTTCACCTTTCCTCATCGTGACAATCCCACGGTCTAAGCCAGCAGAAACTTTTTCTAACCATCAAAGCAAACTTATTAAGCTTAATATATACAAACCAAATAATGGATGCAGAAACAACTTTTTCCTACAATCTCTTAAGCAAATTATAAGTTAAAATGATAAGAGAAATGGCCATTGTAGCAAATTAAACATTTTTTGCAACTTAAAACATTATAATTAATTACAAACTGCACACCAATATAGGAGTAATAAGTTAACTAGATCGAAGGGGAAGTTGTAGAAACAACTTTTTCCTACAATCTCTTAAGCAAATTATAAGGAAAAATGGTAAGCGAATGGCCAATTATAGCAAATTAAACATGTTTTGCAACTTTAAATATTATATTAATTACCAACTGCACACCAATAGAGGAGTAATAAGGTAACTAGATCGAAGGGGAAGTTGTATGGGGTAAATTATTGTGAACATGTGGTCACATAAGATGAAGACGTAAGATATTAGGATAATGATAAAAGCAGAGCTGAGTAAGACTCCAGAGGCAAGCGATCTTCGAAGAATCACAAGAAAAAGTAATCGGGGTTGTTATCGATATCGGTCACTTTTACCAAAACCATTGGAGTTGTTGGCGATGAAAGAAGAGACCCGTGGCTCGAAGACACGTTAGAAGAAATAAAGACTTGTGTCCAGACGCACGTTAGAAGAAATAAAGAACTTATGGCCCGAAGTAATGAGAGGAGAAAGAAAGGACAGAAGCATCAACTAATCCCATACAGGATCCCGCAAATCACGACATACAATAGGGTCCAAGCAGAGCAATTTCATATGTTGATGTATTCTACATTTCCATTTGTTGTCTATAAATAGCTGAGTTATTCATTTGCAAAAGGTTGGATTTTCAACAATACAAAGGATTGCATTGATATTCTTGCATTCAGAGCTTTGTCTTATTACATTACCAACTAAGGTAATACTCATAAGATCATACATATAAAGACCTTTTATACCGGAACCAACACTGACACCGGAATCAGGATTGAAGCAATGATATTTTGACTTCACTATTCCATTTGCTAATTTATCCAAATTATTATTCTTAATACATTTATTCAACAATGTTTTTGCTTAATCTAAATCTTATAAGTCGAATCAATCCGCCTGTCCTTAACCTTGTAACAAATTCATTTTTCAAGTGTACATAAGTAAAATAGTAACCAAAAACTCACCTTGGCCAAGCTTGAATGTAAAAGGTTCACCTTTGTCCCAGGTGGAAACAGATTTGGTTCCATCACGTAGGATACCAACATAATGAACTGCAAGTCAATAAATAAAGTAGAAACATTTCAATTTAAAACAAATAAACACAAAAACAATTATTCCTTCATGGTGTTTGAGTGGATATGGAATTCAATAACATAGAATTTCACCCAACTATTAAATTGCTGATATGTATGGATAGAAGAGTTAATTTTGATTAAATAAACTAATCAATTTATCTAGAAACTGTTCTGTCGACTAAATTTCAGAATTACCGGTGACTTCATCACCAAATTCAGGGGTCTCCCAACCATGACCATGCTTCAGAAGCTTCTTCTTAAGTCCATTTGAGTTAATTTCCCTTTCTTCACCAACATTGAGCGGTGGTGCTGAGTCTATCTCTTCACCTGGCTCTTCTTCCAGTTCATCATCTTCATCTATAAATGCTTGGGCATTGGCCCTGGAAAATTCCACCATTTTTTTCACTTCTAATTACTGGTTACTAAGAATTTACTACTTAACTGGAATTCTATGAAGTGATTTGTACGGTGGTCGGAGGTCGGAGATCGTACGCCGATGGAAACCAACGGAGGAGCAAGTAGAGCAGACTGTTCGCTTGCAGTGACAGTAGCTTCCAGTAACTACGAAGTCATTCGAAGTGGGCTGGGCTTTGTATGGACTAAAATATTGGATCAGCCCAATACACTTCCTTACAAGTGAAAAGTTTTGTTGCTGTTTAACTATGTTCCGCTAGTTCGGATGTTTATTTTTTTAGATTTTGAATATTTTTGTGAAACTTTTAGAAATAATAAATCGAGTCAAACGGAAGAAAAGATTTGATTAGTGATTTGATTTAAAGTTAAGTACTGAAAAGGTTGGTTACTGAGCCTGGCCACGAATTGTATTGAATCGCCCCTCTATTAGCTCTAACTTTTTTAATTCCCTCAATCTCTAATCGAGTTTCTATAAAAAGATAATACCAAAATAATTAAAAAGTTGAGAGGCAAATTTAAACTTTTTTTATTATTTAAGAATCTGAAAACGTGAAATTTACTCATTTCACGCTAAAATTTTACTAACTACATTAAATATGAGATGATATATTAACAACAGGGTATGAATGAACTCGAGTAATTCTGGAATTCCAATATAAGAGTAATATCAAAGAAAAATTATGATTGAAAAGTTTAAGAGGGAAAATTAAATAAAATTTGAACATATAGAGTTTACTCATTTCAGACCTAAAATTATACGTATTAACGAGCAAGAATAAATATGAGATGATTTATTAACGATAGAGTGCGAATGTCGTCAACATATAAATTACAAATAATGATATAATTTTTCAATTACAAGGGCTGATAAGACATCCACCTTGTGAGCATGGCCAGACATTCACGAGGCTTATATTCTGGTGCAGTATGCCCTGCTCCCTGTTTAAATTATTAAAATAAACAAAGCAATTTTAACCCAATTTATTTTAACTAGATAAGAAAAGAAAAGAAAAAATAGATTGAGAGAATAGTTTCTTTGCCTTCACTGTTGCAAATGTCATCTGATTTGAGTAACTTCTTGTGTAACTGAAATCGTACAATCGAAAAAACAAAAAGAGTTTAACATCTATATATACTAACAAATTTTCTAACTAATGTAGTCACGTGAATTTCAATGTACGTCTTTCATCAAGAACTAACCCGGCAACTTGATTGTCAACAGTCCAAGCTCGCCAATCATCGACAATTGAATAGTTAAGAGATTTTATCCATGCTTGAGTTGATCGAAAGGTGACAATCTTGTCATGATCTCCACTACTCAATTCAATAAAACATTAGAGAAGTTGTTAGTTTCACATAGTTATTCCGATATGGCTGTACACACGATTAATATTTCAATTCAACCTGTATATAAGAGATCTGTAACCTTTGCTACTGAGGTTTTCATGATATGGTATGCTATTAGTGACTATCTTTTGGAATTTCAAAGTTGCACATCTCTCCCATTTTCCGATAGTCCCCTTTTATCGAATGGATATGTTAGTCTGAGTTTAAGTTCTACGCATTGACATTAAGTAAATAACTAGTGAATCTATACCTTCCGGATGTTGAGGGCGTCTCTAACTTGATCATCATCAGCCCAATGATAAGAATGTTTGTACCAATTATTCTATAAAGCAATTGCACATTGCAAATTCTTGTTATCAATTTAGCAGATACAAGAATCAATAGCCTAAAGTATGCAACATTGTATAGATAATAATTGAAGATGGGAAGACAAATACTCACTCGACATTTTATAAGATTGTTAAGTTGATGTAACTTCTCATTAAGAGATCTTCTTTCGCCAAACAATTGGTGTGGCCTTGGCGAAAAGCGCTTACATTTGGGCTCCAAAATATGGGGTTTATTAATTCCTCTAAGAAGCTGCATATAATAAGATGAGTGTATTTTGATACCAAATAAAACAAGTAGTAGATCATATTTGATTTTACTTCAAATAGAATCCAACCTCTTTAAAAGTTTGAACATCTTGCAAACACAATAAATTGCTTGGATTTATATTAATGTATTCTCCTTTACAATTGGTATTCAAAGACTGTTTCAGAAAGAGTAAGCCAATAAGTGTAAGTAATGTTAATGAAAACACATAACTAAAGAAAAGCCAACCTCATAGAGTTCATCAGAAATAAGTCCCATTCCATAAGCAAATGGAATCTCATAATTGTTTTCACCTTCAAATGTCGATGGATTTCCGAGTAAATATCCCTGAAAGAAAATGTTCTTTTGATTGTGATATTGTTCTACATTGACCTGTAGGAAATCTTCAGCAAAAACTAATATGTTTCTACGCAATCTTTAGCCGGGATAGGATTGGAGGGCAAAGGATGTTCATTACAGAATAAACATTTGTAATAAAAATTTCATTACGAGTTGCCATTTATAAATGACGAACCTTGAGATTGATAAATGGTTTGATTTCCATTTCATTATCTGCAATATCAAGGGCAAAATGTTATAGGACTAAACCAGCAAAGCATGATCCAAGGAAGTAAATATAGTCTTACTACTGGCAATAATTTGACTAATAATGGGAACAACCATCCCCGAGTACGAGTCTCCACCAATGTATAATGGATTCTTTAGAAATGTTGGATGATCTACAAACCACTGCAAAAACATTTTGAGGTTCAGCAAAAAGTTCAGACACCTAAAAGGCGGAGAAACTAAGTGAAATGTGATCCTCACTTTACACTGATCCAACATCGGTAATGAGTTGCAATGGATATACAAAAGTTGTTCAATACTAACAGAGGCCTTAGACCTCCTATATATGCTGACTGCGAAATCACAAGTAACGATAAATGTAATTACCTTGCGAAGGAACTGATATGCATGATCACTTGTTTGTAAATCAGATGTTTGTAGAGCTGCTGGAGTTGTCGCGTAGGAAAAACCAGTTCCTACCGGTAAGTCTAAGAAAATAATACTTGACACCTAAAAATTCCATCATACATTTTAACATTCTTGAATTGTGCACAAACTTTATGTACATTACAAAGTACAATTTCAGTATCAAATACTCTCACCTTTGTCCATGAGTAAGGATTCAGTATCATTGTAGGCAAACTCCCATTGTATTCCACTGCCCCAAATGTTATTGGTCCTTCATATTCATTGTTCAAAATGTTTAGGAAGTATAACTTAATAGCTTGTTAAAAGCCAGAAACTTTTAGGATTCAAATCAACTAATTTTACTTTTATTTGTGGTATTTTAATCCAAGTTGTCAATGATCTGAACCAAAATATTTTTCCTATTTAGCTTGATGAAGCGTGATCAACAACATACCTATCGTTTAATTCCACAAGTGGGGTCTAAACATAATAAAATGTATGCAGACCTTACTCCTATCTCGTGAAGGTTGAGAGATAATGTTGTACTATATATACTAATTCTTCTACCTAATCCGCGACTTCTATGCCTTCCTCTCTCGGGTCATGTCGTCGGTAAGTTGAAGATGAGACATGTCATGTGTAATCAACTCTTCTTAGTACTTTTTTGACCTACTTCTATACGTTTCATCATATCCACTATTTCCAACCCCTCACAATTCCTCATTAAAGCACTTCACATATCTAAATCATCTCAGCCTTGCTTCCTTTATCTTGTCTACCATACTAAGAGATGAAAATTCGATCTCCTTCTATGGACTTGGACAACCTCATGAGCTAGCTTTTTAGATTGAGTTAGGCCCAGTATCAGGGGCGTGTTGAAAGAGATGGAAATTGACGATTGGAACATGTCAAAGGAACAGGTCCAACCCAGTTGACTGACTTATCTACAGCAAGTGTTGATGAAGAAGGAAGTTGAGGATAGGAACATGTCGAAGAAACAGGTCCAACGAACCTGACTGACGAGTTACAACACTGCTGAATAATTGGAGTCGCACTAGCATTAGACTACTTATGTTAAATAGTGTTATATTTCGTCTATAATTATATTATTATTAGGATTACATTACGACTAGGATTACTATTAGAATTATATTACAACTAGGATTTATATTATTTATAATTGCAATATTAGTATTATAGTAGTAATATGTATTGTAATAGTATTCTAAGTATAGTTTAATTTAGGACTCTACAATTCTCTCTTATATAAGAAGTATGTATTAACATTATTATTTATCAATACTAGATTGATCGTTATTGACCAATATGATCAATTCATCAATAATCACATATCAATACAATCCTTAGTTTCTCTACAGGAGATTTCTTCAGGGCGGAGCTTTGACATGGCAAGGTTGGTCAGATGAACAATCTTCGTCAGAATTTTTTTTCGAATATATATTACTAAATATCGATTTTTTTAGATATACACTAACTGTTGAACAACCTTGACATAATAAAGGTTGACAGTTCAGTATGCAAAAATACCTCTGCGTTTGGTTTGGGCCCAAGTGTTGCGATTCTTTTAATTTTTTAAATTATTCTGTTTTGTCCTAAAGTATGAACATCCTTGGCAAAAATTCTGGCTCTGTCATCGCCCAATATCCATCTTTATACATCACAGAGATCATACCTACCTTGTCCCACATATTTCTATTCCTAATCTTATTTCTCTTTATATACCTACACACATCCATCTCACCGTCCTTTTATCTTTTTAAGTTTTGGTGATACGTTCTTATTAAACAAACTTGAAGCCTGATCAAGAGGTGTAAATCAAAGGTTACATCTTTTTACACTATCAATTGAAATTTTTACTAGATTACCTATACATACCAATCTCATAGATAAGGCCAGATAGAGCAGAGCAACCAGGTCCTCCAGTGATCCAAAGCATTAGAGGGTCGGAGTCTGGATATCCAGACTCCGACTCTATAAAATAATAGAATAATTGCACATCTTCTGAATCACCAACTCCTACATACCTGGAAACACCATTCAATTATATGAGTTTTTAAGTAAATCACTTGAAAAATATAACTCTAATAATATGTAAACTTATTTCCAAATTATATTCCTCACCCAGTTTCAAGTTGAAAAGGAAGGGGTCCTTTAAAACCTGGAAGAAACTTCACTGGTGAACCAGCTATTGCAGGCTCTGCAACAACAAGAACCAAAAATAAATAACATAGCTCTGTTTTTGTCATATTTCTTCTACAACAGAGTTGTCTTGAACCTTACTTTGTCATATATATAATAATAATAATATAAATATATTACTTTTCCGTTTAAAAAAGAATAATCTTCTTTTGTCTTTAAAAAAAAAGAATGAGTTTTTTTCGTAATAATTTGCACGTGCATATTTAAGGCCACAAGATTAAAAGACTATTTTATACCTTAATTTAGGATTATATAACTAAAAATTTTCTTTATTTTATTAAATTAAGTTAAACTAGACAATTATTCGTGAAGGTGAAAGAGTGTATATATATGAAAATAGATAAGTATTACTTCCTCTGTCATAATTTATTAATAGTCTACCCTAACGACTAAGAATTTAAAGACTTGATGAAATAATTTGTATACCCCTTTCCTCCCTTGATAAAAAGTCAAAAAAAATTAAAATAAATAAATTAATTAAATCTAATTAATCTAATTTAGGGAGTAGAGAAAACAAGATAGATGAATTCTTATATATCTTGATTTAGTTTTTGAAAAAAATTAGAAATAACAATCACAACATTTCGTTTTAAACAAAATATTATTTAAAAAATAATCTATATTTTCAGAGAATATATATGTTTTGGGATGTAATTTTATTTGATGAAAACTTAAAAAATATTATCTAGATAAATAAGCAAGTAATCTACATATATTCTTGTGTCCCATCGAGAAA